TTGAACTGGGGAGAGACGGTAATTAGAATTGATTTCGTTTCAATTCTCTTGTGTTTTGGATTCTGTGTGCTTCCGCTGTGCAATTTCATCACCCGGTTTGGTGTGGTTTTCTCTCTCCAAGTCTACTGGCCATTTTGCATGTGAATGGGAATGTGTGTATGCCATGCTGGATTCGTTTTCAATCAGGCACATAACATGTTAACGGGAGGGACAGAAAGACGTGGCACTCCACTAGACCCAAGGACAAGGACGGACGAGAAGGTGCTAACATGGAGTTCTGAGTCTTAATCGGAGGTTCGTTGTGTGAGCGTAGTCCTTCTTCTCTCTCTTTTTTTTTTTTTAACCCCCCAGGCGGCCGAGCAGGCTAGCTCAGTTGGTTGAGCATGAAAGTGGCACTCAGGAGGTTGTGGGTTCGATACCCAACGTCGTCCTTTCGATCCCCGCGACCTCCTTGGGGTATGCTTCGGGTTCGCCAACAGAGATTGTTGGCTTGGGCCGCCTGGCTGGTTGTGGAAGTAATTGGTTCTTTCCAGCCCGCACCGGGTGTTAAGAGCCTGGGTACTGCTCCCCGCACGGAGCAGAGATAGGTAGGCGTAGACCCATAACCTTAGGATAGATTAGCGCTGGATAGTGAATTTAAGCTTCCTTTGCTATTGCCGTGCCCCTTGCAGGTCCGGAAGGTGGGTAGACCAGTTTGAGTACACAGCCGCGCTACGTAGTGTGAGATGGAAAAATATCGAGAGAAGAAAATAGCATAGTAAATGCAGCTGTCCCGCATATGAGGAGAACGCCGCATGCATCTATTAAAAAAAAAAATTAATAATAATAATAAAAAAAATTAAAAAAAAATAAACAGGTGGGGCCTGCTAGAGAGGGTGATATGAGCATCCCCCCCTGTCAGGCCACCACTACGACCCATTGGTGTGAACGTAATCCTGTTGGTCCTCTTAGACTCAAAAACTTGTTGATATGCAGGGAACTTGCTGAAGTATCCGGAACCATATCCAAAACTTTACCGCTTTCTCCTCATGCATCGAGAAGTTTTCAAGTTCGTCCCTGAGCGACTTCATCTGTCTGTCCCTTGGTCATCAACGTACGTGTCTGGGCCTTCTAGCCCATCCAGCTATGTCCATTTCAAGCAAGCCCCTCTCCGGGTGTTCGGTAACCCTACCTGACAGGTTTATGAGGTCTATGAGAGACGTCATGCATCCAAGTAGATAGTACTCAATGAGCACATCACACCACACGTAGTCGTGCCACACCTGATTGAGACAGTAGAGTGCACAGTCAGCCTTCATTCATTCGTTCCACAACTCCCAACAACAGCCGTGCGTTCCCACAACCCTACGCAGTCTGACCTGGCGTATGCCGTGAAAGACCGTGAAGTGCTGGAAATCCTGACGCCTACCCGACAGGACCTGAACTTAAAATAACTTGCTCGAAGTCCTGACGCCTACCCAAAATTTTACGGTTTTCTCCCTGCGTGTCAACAAGTTGTCGAGTTCATTCCTTCTCGTCGGGAACTGGTCCAGCGCAGAAGCAGAAAGTTAGAAACCTACGTTGATGACGGAGGGGGGTCAAGACACTGAAGTGTCTAAGGGACAGACTCAAAAACTTCTCTTGTGTTAACAAAAGAAAAAAAGACTTGAGAACTTCTCAATACCTCAATACAAAGGGTGGGGGGGGAGGGGGGGAGGGGGGAGGATTGGCAAACTTTTTGGGGGTATAGGTCAGGATATTCCCTGATCTGTATTATTCCCTGATTTGTATTTCAACATTTCATGGGTGTAGCAACGTAGCCAGGCCTGTTCTTGTGTAAGTTCAGCTCCCACAAGGCTTGGGGACGTATGGGCCTTTGGCCATAGTGTTCCTTGATGCTGGCCTATATCTAGATGAGCTTAGCAGCACATGCATCTGGCACTTGGGCGGTATTGCAGGAGGACATGAAAGACACATAAGTGGGATAGGGAGAGGGAAAGGTGCCTACGGAGGAAGCCCTCAATTCTGTGCATCGTTCATTCTCAATAACAATAATACATGGGTTACACGGCTGGTGCTCCGGATACATAAACTGGGCAAGGTGCGCTGTACCTGATTGGTGATTGACTTCTTAAGGCCCATATGACCTTCGGTTGGTGTGCCAAATCTGTCTGGCACTGTTACAGTGCAGACATGCGTAATTGGTTGGCGAGATACTTGTGAGAGGTAGATGCTAGGTTAAGGTCCTTGCACGATCTGAGAGCACCAACCTCAATGTAACTACTAGCTATTGATTAGGAGACGCAGGACGAGGAGGTTTGGAAGGGGAGAAGAGGTGGCTGAGAAAGGATTTTCTTCATTTTTTTAATTATTCCTATTGCTTAAGCCCCTAAGTCTACAATCCTATTAGAAGTTAAAAACTGCTATTTGTCATAAGGAATGGCCCAGATTGCAGACCGATCCCAAAAAAAAAAAACGTACGTATGTTGTATGCGAATGCAACGTACGTAGTATGCGAATACAACGTACGTAGTACGTTCCCAGCACGTGCTGCTCCCCACAAATAGATTGGAGCCTCGTTCCCAAAAAAAAAAAAAAAAAAAGTACGTTATACAACGAGTTTTAGGGCACAACTTTGCAGGAGCCTATAGTACCATCCTCATTTTCTCAAATGTGGTTGGGAATTTTGCCAAGCCCCTCAAGGCAAAAGTTGTTTGTATTGCACTTTTGTACAACACATTTTTTTTGTTTTTGTTTTTTTTTAGGATATTTTTGAAAAATCAAAATTCTAAAGAAATTGGAAAACAGAATATCCCTGCCATAAAAGAATATTTTTATTCTCGTTTTTATTTTTTTCTCAAATTGGATTGTGAATTTCGACATGACCCTCAGGCAAAAGTTGGTTGTACTGCAATACTGTACAACCCTTTTTCCCCGGATTTTTTTATTTTTTCTTTAAATCGAAATTTCCAAAAATCTGAATACAACGTTTGTAGTACTTTGTACATTGTATTGGAATATAACGTACGTACGTTATATTCGGAAAAAAAATTCAGCAATTTCTGGGGACCCGTTTTTCAGAGGTAAAATGCATAGAACGTACGTACGTTTTTTTCAGGTTAAGACAGTAGTGAAATGGCAGAATTCCAAATTGCAATATCACATTGAAAGCCAGATAGCCGTAAGCTGTCCAGAAAGCAGAGATGCACTGATAATAGTCTGATATCACACCGAAGGAGAACCAACGCAGCGAACTCAATTGCAAATGAAAGCCCTCTCTCGCCACCATCAACAATGTTTCCGAAGCTCTTCCTCCTCTTGGCGCTCAGCGCCCATACTACTATCATACAGCTACTACTCTAGCCTACTAAATGACAAAGCAACCAGTGACGTCAGCAGCAGCGACCAAAGTACATGCAGATGTCGACCATGCAGACCCCCACCAGGACCAGGTATGTGCTCTCACGTCATCTCTCCCCTTCACCTCTTACTGCCCCTCCTTGTCTCTCCTCCCTCGTCTCATCACCGTCCCCAGGACCACCACCAATCCCCGCCAGCTATGTCTGCCCAGGCTATGGCGCTGCTCCCTTGCAGTGCCCAACAACACCTCACGCCCGTGCGTGCGTCAAGCACTAGCGCTAGCTAGCAGGCGCGTGCAATCGCTTCAGCAGCGCTGCCGCTTGCACTGCCAAGTGCCCCAATGCCTCACTCACCACCAGCCACTTTGCTGTATGCTGTGCCCAGTAGCTTCAGGTTGGGCCAAAGTGTCTGCACCCAGGCCCATTCAGACAGTGGCCTGGGACCGAATTGGTTAGGCCTGCCCAACCACCCAAGCGCAAACGTGACGTGTTTCCTGTTTCCACTGTGTAGCCAGAAGAGCCTAGAAGGCTCACGGATGTTTCTGATTCTCACAAGCAGGACGATGTAACCAACTGCAGCATGGCAACTGTCTGGCGCCCACCCAGGCTTTGCATGCATGTATGGCGAGGGGTAAAATCCTCGCACAGATCTCAAGCAGATGAGAAAAAATTCTGATCGGCCAGCGATCTGGGCCGTTTGCTCGAAAAGGCGGTCCAGATATCCAGCCAATCAGAAACGTTTCTCATCGATCTGAGATCTGCACCATCAGGGGTTGCGACCGGCCTGCAATCCGGGCCGTTCACGCGAAAAGCTACTGTTTGGCCAGTACCACCCTCGGGACCTACCTGGACTACGTGATGGACCCCCACTACCGGGCCTAACTTCCCTATGCGACCTGCATGCGCTACTGGACCTACCTACCCCAGGTGACCTACCCTACGCCACCTATCTTCACTGCCACAGGCCTACGCAATGTGACCTACCGACCCAAGCTGCCTGCACTACTGGACTCACCTGCCCTATGTGGCGTACCCGCCCTACACGACCTACCTGCACTACCAGACCTACCTGCCCTACTCGATCTACCCTACGTGACCTGGTTTACTGCTACCCCCGTCTCTCTCTCTCTCTCTCTCTCTCTCTCTCTCTCTCTCTCTCTCTCTCTCTCTCTCTCTCTCTCTCTCTCTCTCTCTCTCTCTCTCTCACACACACACACACACACACACACACACACACACACACACACATCCTTAAGAGAGAGCTCAGGACTCCAGCTTGCGTGCTAAGTCAGGGAATAACCAACTGCTCACGGCTGTATTCAGCAGCCTGCCTGTTTAATATGGCCAAGCAGTGTAACAGTGCTGAGCTGGTGACTAATGCTCACCAGCAGAAATAGCGCTGCTGCACTAGTGATAAACATCCGGCGACATATCCTTAAGGAAAAAAAGAGGGAAAAGGAAAAGAAGACACCCAAGAACCAAAAGAAGGGAGGCAAAGGATGGCGACCAATCCATGTCTCAGAATTAGGAGTCCGATATGCAGAGAGGGTCTACAACCAGACGAAAAAAAATTCCGAAGAAAAGGAACTCAGTAACTTACACATCGAGAGATCAGTGGTCGAGGAAGATGTGTTACGTCCGAAGCAACGAGAATTACCTGCACAGTGCACAGGTACACATCACAACGAAAAAAGTTGAACGAACCAACCACAAAGATCGGCACAGATTCTGCAGTTAAAACACGACAAATTCCAACGATGGGAAACACATTCAAACAATGCGAAAAACAAAGGCAAAATTTAAATGACAACCAAAAGACGATTATTCCACCGCAAAATGATGGACAAGCGACAATTTCCTGACCGATGAATATCATACAGATGCGGAAAAAAAAGAAAATGTAATATATTATATAATGAATACTAATGCTATCCTGGACCATGCCAGGTACGCCTGGGCCAGTTGAGCAGAGGGGACATCGCCCGGCAAAACCAGATGGGTCAAAAAAGAGGCAGGGATCCCAGAAAAAAAAAAAAAAAAAAACTTCAGGCCAGCACCGCGCTGCGCTTGGCGTAAGCAGTCAGAATCCGGTCTTAACTTCAATTTTGGTGATGGTCAAGGGGGGGTTGGGGGATATAGACAGTGACTAAAGGGGTTTAAAAGGGTACATTTCATAGTTGCAGCGCACCAGTGAGCAGTGCGCTGTGCGTTGGAATTACAGTGCGCGCACTGTGTGCCGTGCGCTGTGCGCAGTGCGCGCACTGAGGGAGGTGCGCCCTGTGCGCAGAAAAAAAAAAAAAAAAGAAGTGCCCCGGAGAGAGAGAGAGAGAGAGAGAGAGAGAGAGAGAGAGAGAGAGAGAGAGAGAGCAAAGGGTCCCCTTCAAGTCAATTCAAGGGCCCCTGCAGGTTACCTCGAATGGCTCCTACAATACTCAGAAAATGTCGCTGTCATGTCGTTTGAGGCCCTGTGGGACTCCACCGAATGACCAAACTGGCCCAATGGAAAGCCACACTGATGTGGAGGCAGCCAAGGGGTCAGAAAATAGAGGGTTGTCTAAGCACAGGCAGGGATTTTTTTTTTCTTCTTCTTTTTCTATTTGGACCATTTCTCAATTTATGTGTGTCGTGCATCATCCTTGCCCAAGGGGCACGCATTATCTTCTCTGTATCGTTCCAATTTTAACGGATGTCCCAAAGGACAGGTGGGGGGCATTTTGGGTCCAGGCTGGGAAGGCTTTGGGTACAGGTGGGGGAGCATTTTGGGTATATTTCAGACTGGGGAGGGGTGTGGGGTTTGCTGCAACGCAGCCACAAAACAGGGGGGTTCCTAGCCCCATTTGCAAAAGCCTTTGTATTTCATTTGACATTCTGAGAAGGGTACTATTTTACTAAACACGAACTAAGCTTTGAGAAATCAAAGTTCGGCGCAAAAAAAAAAGAAAAAAAAAAGGCATTCTTTGCCCCCCTTCATCTAGTCTCTTCACAAAAGCAACAGCAGGATGACAGCACACCTGCGACATTGACTCCCAGGGACAAGCACCTGGGACACTGAGTCCTAGGGACAAGCACCTGGACACAAGTCCCAGGGACAAGCACCTGGGAGATCGAGTCCCAGGACAAGAACCTGGGACACTAAGTACCAGGGACAAGCACCTCGAAGATCAAGTCCCAGGGACAAGCATCTGGGACACTAAGTCCCAGGGACAATCATCAGGGATACTAAGTCCACGGAACAAGCACCAGGGACACTAAGTCCCAGGGACAAGCATCAGGGATACTAAGTCCCAGGGACAAGCACCTGGGACACTTGAGTCCCAGGGACAAGCACCTGGGACACAATTCCCAGGGACAAGCACCTGGGAGATCGAGTCCCAGGACAAGCACCTGGGACACTAAATACCAGGGACAAGCACCTCGAAGATAAAGTCCCAGGGACAAGCACCTCGAAGATCAAGTCCTAGGGACAAACACCTGGGACACTAAGTCCCAGGGACAAGCATCAAGGATACTAAGTCCAAGCGACAAGCACCTGGGACACTACGTAAATGGGACAAGTCACTGGGTCAAGCACCCGTGTCACTAAGTCCCAGGTGTTGTTACTCAGAGACACTCCAGCTAACAGACTGAGACAATCTTTTGTTGAAATGATTTATGAATTCGTTCTAAACTTAGTCAATGAACAAGAAAAAAAATTCAAAAAATCAAAATTGGAACATTCTTATGCTAGATCCTAGTTCTGTCGCAGAAAGTTCATCATCGGGTAGGGGTGCCTGTACATAATTGTGGCCTTTCGCTGGGGTGTTACCATGAGGGAAAAAAGAAAAAAAAAGGAAAAGAAAAAACAGTGTTCGCTTCTCCAATTTTTTTGAATGGATATCTCCACTCTTCTTGTGACCAATGTCTTGCGTTGTGTGAATCTATCTTCCCTTTTCTTTTTCGTTTTTTTTTAAAAGCTCCATCTATTGGTGGGGAGCATCACCTGCAACCCTTCCAAATTCCAAATCGGTTGAGGTCAGGAGCCCCTAAGAACGCGTTTAGAGTGGAGTCCTGGACATAATCGCAGCACGGCGCACTAAGTCTTATCACCAAAAAAAGAAAAAGAAAAGGAAGTGGTCATGTCAAAATTCGAATGGATTTCTTAAAATCATAAAATGCCAAAAAACGACCAATATCTTCTATCTTGTATTCTGTGAATCTTCCCTGAAGCCTTCAAAAGTTCCCAATTGGTTGTGCGAGGATCTGGGTCCTCGGCAGGCCTAAGAGGCCCCTGTTACAGATGTGCCCGCCCTAAGTGAAGGCGGGCCTAACAAATCTCAAGGGGTCCAACCGAACGAGGCCCAGCAGCTGCAACAGAGGCACAGCCTCCTGGGGCCTACCGGAAGCTTCTCGGCAGAGGCCCAGCCCAGCCAGGCCGCCGGGGCAGGCAGACTCTTTCCATATAGGAAAGAGCTCGCTGCCTGGAGGCTCATTCAGGCACTTGCCAGATGATGCTTGCGGGCTGCTGAGCGTTAGGGGCAAGGTGCTGCGCGTGTGCGGTCGTGCAGGAAGGAGGGCGCTGCTGAGGGCAGCACCGTAGCCCAGCCTCCATAGCTGGCTGGAGCTTGGACTACAGTGAGGCGCAGGGGTGGTCTTCGGGTGTTCAGAGGGAAGACGTGGGTGTAAGTCAGGGGAGTGAAAGAAGGATGTCAACCATTGCATTGTCAATTAGTAGGCCGACAGTAGCTGTGTAGGAAGTAGACTGGGCGCCGAGCGCCAAGTAGGGAGAAGGGACTGGACTCTTATGTTGGTGGTGGCGAGAGCAAGCTCTCATTGACATTGGTTTTCAGTGTTACGAATCTCCATTGGTGTTATATTGGTGCATTGCTGCCTTCTGGACACTGAGATAATATCTGGCTTTCAATGTGATTGTGCATTCTGGATATTGTCATCTCGCTGTTGCTCATTTTCCTTGCAATTTGGTATCGGTGCTGGTTCGAACCGCGCTTCATTGGTTCTTCGCAATAGCTGTTTGGTGCTTCACATGAGGTGTGGGGCAGTAATAAGGTTTGGGCGTTGAATGACTGACGGCCCAGGGTCGTGTGGGCGCGGCAGGAAGCTATGTGGTGACATAGGGGGTGTACGCTGGTTGATGAGAGCTCGCTGATGTGGCATTTAAGCCAAGGTGGAACTACATTACGCTGTTGGTTGTGCCGAGGCAAAGACCGGTCATCATAAATGCACATCAGGTTGCCGGTGAGAAATCTGTGGCTGGGGGCAGCATTATGAGGTACGTTGCTCTCTTCCTTATCTACCCTCTTCATTACTTCTTACCGTGAGGAAGTGAGTTCCGTCTCGAGAGTCCTCTCAATGTGAGGTGTCGCGAGCGCTCAACCTTGAGAGTCGACATTCTTCCTGGGCCGCAAGCTGGTGGGAGACGGGTGAAGCCTCTGAAGGGCCCTGGACGAAGCACTCGGGTCACGGTCACCATGCCAACCCGCTGGGACTAGTACACGCATGCTTTGCCGCAAGTCCTTGGTTCTGCTGCTGCGCAATAGAGGTCATGCAGGGCATGCCAGCCCTTTGAGAGACGCTCACCAGACCGTCAATAAATATTTCTGGCGGGTTCCGGTGTTGAACCCTGGCTGTGATCGTCGTCCTGTCTGCGCCGTTAAATAATTCCTGAGGACCTTGGGGACTGTCCTTAAACTGCCGCTTGATCAGCCAGATCAAACCGGAAGTAAGGCTCGTTGCATGCGAGGGTAACCAACGTGCAGGGGATGGCAGGTTCGGCATAGACTTGGGGCACAAGGGTGGGCCGGATTGCACACCTTCAGACACGCCGCTCAACCAGATGCTCAGGGCGTTGACACAAAGTGACCACCCAAGAAGGATACAGGGAGAGGGGGGATTCCTGTAATTGTTTGCTGTTGTACAACTTGGATAAACTGCCATACAACATACATCTCCACAGGTAAACTGTTTATTTTTTATTATTTAGTTGTACGGACTTGTTGACAACTGACAGACAGCTGCAGATAGGATAGTACATTCCTTGCTGCATTGCATGCTGTATTAGAGTAATCTAAAAATAGAACTATTGTTGCCTGTAGGATCTGACATTAGTTGTCATTGACCACTTGACTGTTTCTCTCCAGGCTGACCAAAAATAGTTGTATATCATACTCGGTTGGGTGTCATGCTGAGGTAGGATTCAGTGTGGATTCTAGTTTAGATCACACACACTGTAGCTCATAAGTGATGCAAGCAGTAGTGGGGAGGAGGAACGATTAGTGGAACCCCTTAGAGTTACACGTAGAACTGCTCTCAGTCGTCCGATCACTTTCCAAGAGTTAGCTCCAGGAGAGGAAAGGAGGCTGCTGAGGGAAGCTAGGGAGGGCGACATTAAGGAGGGTTAGGTCAGCAGCAGCCAGCTTAGAGGCCGCGATGGCTACCACCTCCAACACGTCACAGGCCTCGTCCCAGGCCACTTCGTCAGGATTCAGTCAGAGTGTTTCTCAGGTTTCCATGAGTCAGACTGTTGGCTTGCAAGTCAGCCAACAGACTCAACTCACCCCGGAGGTTTATGAGATCCTTCAAGCAGAAGAACTTCATGATGAGCTGCAGCGACAGTTGAGAGAGGCAGCAGAGATGAGACAAAGGGCTATATTGAGAAAAACTAGGCCAGGGAGTAGGAGACAGGAGCTAAGTAAATTAGAAGCATTAGAGTAGTCGACACTTGATCCTGCTATGCAAGCGCCGCGTAGCCCGCTTCTTTGCGTGGCAGAAATGCAGGTTGTTCAACAGGAAGTGTTGGCTGAACTAGTGGCAAGCCAGAGACAATTCTGGCTGCACTGCAGGCTCCTCGTCCATTGATGAGGCAGCCTCAGAACTTCATGATGAGCTGCAGCGACAGTTGAGAGAGGCAGCAGAGAGGAGACAAAGGGCTATATTGAGAAAAACTAGGCCAGGGAGTAGGAGACAGGAGCTAAGTAAATTAGAAGCATTAGAGCAGTCGACACTTGATCCTGCTATACAAGCGCCGCGTAGCCCGCTTCTTTGCGTGGCAGAAATGCAGGTTGTTCAACAGGAAGTGTTGGCTGAACTAGTGTCAAGCCAGAGACAATTCTGGCTGCACTGCAGGCTCCTCGTCCATTGATGAGGCAGCCTCAGTATGCTGTAGCTCCCCTTTCGGTTGCGGGTCCCTCAGTGACGCCGTCGCCGGTGGGGCCCTCTTTTTCTCCCATGTTTGGCATGCCCCCTCCAGGTGGTTTAGTAGCAACTAGTGGTCCGGTCCTTAGAGCTTCTTCAGGACCATTAACGACGATAGCAGCTACAATGCCATCGTCAGGACAGACTCAGGTTAGCCTGCAGCAACCTGTCTCAAGGGCTATGCAGCCACTGCAGCAATCACCTGGGCAAATCCAACCCATGCAGTGGATGCCCAAGACTCCCTTGCTGAGTCCTAAGCCCTTCTCTGGCCACAAGAAGAAGTATGAGGACTTGGACACCTGGGTGAGGACTGTGCCTACCTATGTGAGGCACAAGCTCACAAGGTCAGAGCAGGAAGTTATAGTTGCTGCCTCCTTTTTAGAGGGATCGGCAGCACGATGGTTATACCATGGCTGTGCCGACAACCGGCCGGTTGGACTGGGCCAGATCCAACCGGGCCGGTTGGACCCCCGGTGGTCCAACCGGAATTCCGGTTGGGCCCAAAAGTGGGTCAATTCTTTTTTTTCTTTTTT